TTCCCATTGATTTAGCTTGGAAAGCGGGGAGAATGGCGCTAGGCTTACCGCACCGTGACGTCACTGCTGGAAGATGGCAGGAGGGAGGGGCTACTAGATTTGGACAAAAGTAGCTGGTGTTGTGTCAGATCAGCAAACCCATAGTCAATAAATGTTTATCCCTTTTTTGTTTATCGCGGAAAATAGACTTTAAACTACCTTGACAGAAGAGTAATAAAAAAAAAAAATTTATTGACTTACTTCTTTGTGTTTTTTGAAGCGTGTGGCGATCTGACCTTAAACAGTTTTTTGTACATGACTAAAGGGAAACACGCCCGTCGAGTTTAAAGTGTAATTTTTTGTAAAAATCTAAAGGGCTAACAGGGATTAGCATACACGTATGCAAATCTGACATTCTGTGCATGCTTACTGATTCCCGGATTCAGTGATCGCGATTAAAACATTTTACTGATTAACACTAAATTCATTAAATCACCGCAAACTAATTAGTTTTAGGTATAAATAAAGATCCATTGATCAGTCCTTGCTGACCGGAGTTCTCCTTTAAGGCCGGTTCAGGATAAGAGCTCTGCTGAAAGAAAAACCTCCCAGCCTCTAATTCCTGACCGTTTCTCAGGTTATTGAGTCAAAGCTTTTATTTTGGGCTGAAGAACGTCTTCTGCTGGGCTAGCTTTGCCAGATGTAGCTACGCAGCTAATGCGGTTACTTCAATCTAGAGGAAGAATGTCAGGAGAAAAAAATCATCCAGAGAAACGGAGATGAGACAAAAGGTCCCTTTCATTAACAGTTTTCCTTCACAGGCACAGATTTAAAACATTTACAGGAATGTTTTCCTGAATTAAATCAGTAAAAACCTTCAAGCCTGGAAGGAGAATCTCTGAACATCAAGGAGGGAATTTCTTCTTCCACCATTTCTCTGAAAGAACAACGTCTCCATCTAACCTAGACTTATAACCTCTTATCTGCTGGTCATCCAGGTCAGTCATTCCAAAAAAAGAAAATTAAAAACAATCTGCTGGACTTTGTTTCCAAGTTTGAAGACGTTTCTCTTCCATCCAGGAAGCTGTTTTTAGCATTTAGTTCCAGGTTTTATCCAGCAGCCCAACAAAGCCTGGTATTAGTTTAGAAAACATGCAAATAGAAACGGATGAACGGGTGCCCCACTCCAGCAACATCTGGGATGGAAATATTTTTTTTTTTGTTTAAACTTCTCACTGTTATTTTCTGCTGCATGTATTTTGGATTTCCTTGCTGATTTGACAAACGGCCAGTTTGGGTATCCACAGGTTTGGAGAGCATCTTTGATGGGAAGACAGGTGGTTAGAGAGGGGCGTGAAGGAAGCCATCTATGTTAAAAGAAAAACCAACCTTAAACCTGAGTTTAGTTAAAGCTGCAACCTGAGTTCCAGCTTTCAAAAACCTACAATGCAGCGATAGAGTTGATTCCTTCCCGCCATCATCACAACCCTAACCCCTTTACAGGGGAACAGAAGACCTCATTACAGAGGCATGGGCCAGTATCGGGTACATTTGCAGGTTAATAACGACCCTAAAGACTCCCCATCACTAAGGGGTTGAACCTGTTTTCGGTTCAGTTTGCATGTTCTCTAAGCCAGAACAAGGTTTCTCCATAAAACCTGGAACTCAACGCTACTCCAGATATTTTAAATTGAAAAAGCTTCCTGATGGGAACGAAACGCCTTCAAACGAAACGAAAACAAAGTCCAGTGGTTTGTTTTTTTTGTTTGTTTTTTTTAAGCTTTTTTGGAACCTCATATCCATCTGAAAAGCATTCTGACCTTATAGTCGCCTCTATCTGAGCTACAGACATCAGAATCTGAGCCCTAAACAGCTCCACCTCAGATCTCTGCTCTGTGGAAGCATCCAGACTCCAGGAGGTGATTGTTTTTTAATGATTAACTTTTCCTGCACCTCCAGAGAAAACTCACCTGACCGGATGATCAGGCTCTGGTTGTAAAACATTAGAAGTACGCAGGATCAGAACTGATTACAGCTCAGAGGTCAGGGAGCAGAGGAACAAGAGCTGATTGCCTCTAACTCAATCAGAGCCTCAGAAAGTGTTGATCAGTGAGGAGATGAGGGATTTTATTGATCAGAGGAATCCTGTAATGATTCACAGCCTGTCAGCTGCTCCCTACGCTGCAAAAACTGAACCCAAAGGAGGTAACTCAGAGAAGATCTTCTTCTAGAAGCTTCTAATAGGCCTGGACTCGGCTGACCTACCTGCCAGGTAAACGCCCATGATCCCAGAGACCACCATGAGCTGAACACAGGAGCCCAGCATCCCGCGCACCTTTTCATGGGCCGTCTCAGAAATATACAGCTGCAGAAAGAAGGAGGAGGAGTTTCAGTGACAGAAGAAAACATTTTCTCCCAAAGCTTTTTACGACGGAGTATCAGGGCCAGGCTAGAGATTTTATTTTATTTTTGGAGAATATAGTCGTAACATTACAATAATAAAGTCATCGTTCAACAACCCGTTTTAGAAAGAAAGCTTGGAGCACGGCCGACCAGCTCCACCAATCAGCAACCAGAGTCCACTTTGACATCCTGCCCAGTTTGATGCTGCTGCTAAAAGATTTCCTGATTTTTCAAACCGATGCTAAAGTAGAACTTCACATGATGCTCCACATTCCTCATTTTAGGGAAGAAAGGGCTTCTCGTAAGAAAAGTCATAAAATACCTCGTTTCTTATAATATTATGACTTTATTCTTGTTATTTTATAACTTTCTTATAATTTTATGACTTTATTCTTGTAAAGGGTTAGAGGTATCAGATAAAGTCCAAATTCTTAATTAGTAATGTTGGCTACCGTATCTATACTTTACTGGAGCAATTACTTTTTAGAGAACTTTTTACTTTCTACTCTTTACATTTAAACAAATTACCTCATTTGTTTTTTCGTCCCTCATTTTGATTATGGCCTGTTGTTGAAAAATGTTCCTTTAATAGGATAGAGCAGTAAAGCTTCTGGCATTAACATTTTTTACTGCATTACTTTTACTTTTATACTTTAAGTCATTTTAAAAATGATCCTTTTACACTTTTACTGGAGTAAAAAGTTGAAGTTGATCCTCTAACTTCTATAAAAGGGTTTTTAAACAGTAGGATTTATACTGGACTAATAAACATTAATACTTTTCACACCTCTGCCTCTGAATGTGACAAACAAATGGGTTTTCAAGCAACAATCTCTGTTGAAGGATTTTTTTAAATAGAGAATTTCATACATTTTTTCGAAACAAACCGCATTTTGGATTCTGGGTCCGTACCGTTATTGTCATTGTTGTTATTTCCTCCTGCTGAGGCCTGCTGGTGGCTCTCTGCTTTGTCTTGGTGCTAATTGACTCCTGGCTGCTTTACA